GTTTCTCTGCTATTCATAAAGTTTTCAGTGACTAAATATTTGGAAGTAGTTCGTCACTCCTTCTTCCTAGTGTGTCTTCGTCTGGAAGCTCATCTGAAACCTGTCCGCTATGGGTATTTAAAATACCAGTGGCATAGCTTCCAGAATCACAGCAACTCATAGGCCACCACAGTATGACAAACTGACAGATGAGTGTAGCCTGGTGTAAAAGACTTGGCCTGTCCCAAAGCCTATGTTCTATTACTCTACTTCGCTTATGCTGAATTCCAGGCAAACTTTTCGTTCCTTGCTTTTCTTCACCTTAAATGCCAAGCACTGAAATGTTATCCTTTTCTAAAGACTTGATTTAGATTTCATATCAACATTCTTTTAAGCTAAAGTTAATTTATCCTCTTGAGCTTTTATGATACCTTTTTCATTTTTTATTATATTCCATCTTATTTTAAACTATTCTGTAGTAATAATTGATAATTTTCAGATATGTGGCTCTGTACAAAAGGCACTTTAAATGTGTTATTTAATTCTTAAAACAATCCTATGATATGAGATTTTCTCCTTGTTTTTAAAAAGAAAGAAACTGAGATTTAAAGAAGTGAACGAACTTGTTTAAGGCCATAAAGCCAGTAATTGGGAGGATCTGAACCTTGGTCTTTTCAGTCTTCAGAGTGCATATGCCTGACCATTGTGTTGTATCAACTTTCGCTAAATGTTAGTTTCTCCACCATAGTATTGCTTAGAAGAATTGTATACAAAATAAAAATTTAGTATGTATTTATTGAATGAGTGAGTTCACAGTCTTCTCATCAATGGCTGTTCCTTAATTTCCCCTTTGCCTTTTAACCATGTAATAGTTCCCACTTAAAATTGGAAGATCTACTCCTACTACTTTCAATGTGGAAGTGGGACCATCTGAAAATGTTGGAATAAAGAAATTGGATGTGGTGTAATAATACCCCAAGAAAGCAATTTTTCAAAAGGAAATTGGTAGTGTAAATTTCTGGCAGAAGCCTGAGGAGTTGCTGTACTATTTGCTTAAACAAAAAGAAGTCAGTGTTTAGGATTGGCCAATTTATCCTTATTTAGAATATTTATTTTTGTAATGTAATACTTTGTCTATAATGATGTTTTAGATTTGATTCGAACTATCCGGGACCCAGAGAAGCCTAATACTTTGGAAGAACTGGAAGTGGTAACAGAGAGTTGTGTGGAAGTCCAGGAGATCAATGAAGACGACTATTTGGTTATTATCAGATTCACGCCAACAGTACCTCATTGCTCTTTAGCAACTCTTATTGGTAAGATGCTATACATGTTACTATTATGTATATATTTTTAGTCCTGAATTATTCCTGCTAGTGCTGACCCCAAATAACAATTTAAACCATGTATCATCACACTGTGTGGTTTGCATATGTTCATCTTCTGTAGTCCTCCCTGTTAGCCTGTGAAGAAGTTAAAATATTATCTTCATTTTACAGATGAGGAACCTGAGGCTCAGAGAATTTAAATGACTTGCTTGGCATCTTGTCGCCAAGAACTGGAGAAGCTGAGGCTCAGTCCCAGCGCTGCTGAGTCCCCATCTCTGTCTCCTTTTGTTATACTTTGCTGCTTCTCTTAGGTGTACATGCCAACAACTACTCAGTTCTGGAGACTGGAGTGGGCACTGTCAGACCAGCACAATTGCCGTCCCCGTCTTCTAGCTACTCTCTTGACTTCTATGTCAAATGGACCAAAGTCCTGGTGTAGGGCAGCGCATTTTTGAGGCAATTTTCTGTTTGAGAGGATACATTCCCAATATTTTGGATTAGTTGAAAGTAAGATATACAACAGGTATCTTTGAACATATACTTTGTTATAAATAATGTATGGAGTTTATTTCAAATAAAATGCTCGTTGTTGTTGTTTTGTGCCGTGGAGTTTATTCTAACTTATAGCGACCCTGTACAGGGTTTCCAAAGCTGTAAATCTTTACGGGTGCAGAAAACCTATCTTTCTCTTGTGGAACAGCTGGTAGTTTCAAACTGCTGACCTTGTGGTTTGCAGCCCGATTTGTAACCACTATGTTATTAAATAAACAATATATGTATATATAAATAATGGGACTGTGGTAGCTCTATACAATAAGCACTGGACTGCTAACTACAAGGTTTATGGTTCAAGCCCACCAGCCAATCCATGGGAGAAAGATGAGATTTTCAGCTCCTATGAAGATTTAAAGCCCCAGAAACCCTATACAGGGTCGCTATGAGTCGGAATCGACTTGACGGCACTTAACAGCAACAACATATACAAATAAAAGGGAACTGTGGTAGTGCTATGCTTAAGCACTCACTTGCTAAATGAAAGTTGGTGGTTCCAACCCACTAGCCATGTCTTTGGAGGAAGATGTGGCAGCTTGCTTCCATAAGAATGTGCACCCTTGGAAACCCTATGGGGTACTTCAGCTCTATCCTATAGGGTCCTTGTGAGTTGGAATCAACTCGATGGCAGTGGTGTTTCTTTGTTCTTGTTTTTTAATATAAATTATACAATACTATGCTGGTGTGGAGCTGTGGGTTAATGCACTGGATTGCAAAGTTAGCTTGAGCCACAGGTCAGTGGTTCAGGCTCACCAGTTGCTCCTCAGAAACACTATACAGGGTGGCTATGGGTCCAAACCAACTCGACGGCACTTAACAACAACAACAACAACAACAATGCTGCTATAAGAACAAATGAAGGCATGCTCCATGTATCGATAGAGAACAATCTCTATGGAATACTGCTAAGTAACAAAAGCAAGTATAGTATTGCTACTATTTCTGGCATAAAAAGAGGCCAAAACATGCATTTTTATTTTACGGCTGTTGAATCATGGAAATATATTACCTTTTGAAAAACAAATTTTTGAAAAAGGGAAAACAGATAGGGATTTATTGGAAAGACAAGGGACTGTCGCAGAAAAAGAGTACTAGTCATTCTGCTAAACTTCATGGGACTAAAAAGGTGCCAGGCTCTGTGTGTGGGTATGTGTTTTGGTTTCTGGGGCTCTATGCCCTCTTTATAACCATTCTTTGTTTGTGTGTGACCTCTTCAAGGCTGCTACCAAATGGCAACTTTGTTCCTAATTGGTATCAGTAGTTTCCAAATCTGGTTCCATATTGCTTTCTCCTGGGGCATTTTTAATAATTTAATGATAATAATCCTGGACCTAATTCAATAAGAGTAGGGAGACTAAGTCCTTAAACGTATTTATTAAAGCTGATTTAAAATTCTTGTCTGCTAATCCTAACTCTGTCATCTCTGGGTTTATTTTTGCTGACTGATTTTTCTCCCCTGAATATGGGTTGCATTTTTCTGCTGCTTCACATCTCCAGTAATTTTTTGTGTGTGTGTGTATGTGTGCTGAACATTGTGGATGCTATATTGTTGATGGTCTAGAATGTGTTGTCTTCCTTTAAATAATGTTGAGTTTTATTCAGACAATTAATTTATTGTCAGATCATCTTGAAAGGAGTTTGGAGTAGACTTTATTTTAGGGATAACAACCTTTGCTTTAAGTATGGTCTTCCGGATTCTTGTTTGAATGCCTGGGGTTCCTCTTCTGTTCTGGCACCTCAGAATTTTACTTCTCCAGGACAGTGTGACCTCTAGAATATTCGTTGAGCTAATTCCTCCTGAGTGGGTAATTGTTCTCTGTCAGGCCTTACATCTTGCCCTACTAAACTACATGTCCAGTTTAGTGTTTAGCAAAGATGCCTGTGTAGATTTATGGGACCCTTTTCTCTGTACCTCTTCTTTGGTGCCCTGTCCCCCAAATTTTAGCCACTTTAACAGCCTCTAACTCTGGTCTCTGTCTGATTAGTTCTGTAAGACATCTTGGGCTCTACCATCATGTGCTACAGTCCAGAAGGTACCCAGGCATAAAGCCAAGGAGATTCTGGGGCTCACTTTGTATGTTTTCCTTCTCTTAGGGACATGTCCAGTGTCTGAAAACAGTTACTTCATGTATTTTGTCTGGTTTGTAGTTGTTTATGAGAATGCAGTGGCTCTGTAC